AACAGATTATTCTTTGAAACTGTTTTAACCATTTCAAGCTACAACAAATTAAGACCATCATAGACCATCAATTAGTCAAAAAAAGACCAGTTATATTTCCTGCTGTGACTGAGATCTCTTTAAACAAATTTTATTTAGTAAAAACATTTGTTTTGTGCTCTTCTTTTTTTTTGTATTTCTATATCTTGTTTTGCTTTATTTATGTTTTCGCTTCTCTCCCTATCCAACAGACTTTTCCCTGATATTCGTCGAAGTATTTTCATCTCTGTTGTTTTTAGTTGTCGTCTAATTTTAGATTGGTAAGGTATTGTCTCCGCCGTGTATGTTAATGTAGGTCTAATTGCTGCTTTATAGATTCTTGTTTTTGTATATTGTTCTGAACTTATTTGTTCTTGTTTATGTCTTGTCTTAAGTTTTTTTTCCAGATTGTGTCATTAAGAAATTTCGCCGCTTTACTTGCCTTTAAGTTTTGTTGTTTTACTTCTTCTTCAAGATTTCCGTAACTATAAGTTATAGTTCTACACCTTGCTTCCTGCTTTATTATGTTCTCATCAATTTCGATTTTACATTGTAGTGAATATTTAGATGTTGTCATACATTTGATTTTTTCTTTATCTGTTAATCTCAGATGTGTGTTTATCTTTGGAGCTCGTAAAAAAAACGACTTGTTTTGTTTGTATTTTTTTTATTACACCTTTTTTGTTCATATACAGCTTTGATATAATATAAAGATAAGCAATATACCTAAAATTTTATATGCAACAAATATCCTAAACTTTTTAAATTTAATTACAAAAATATTTATGTTTTTTGTAATACGAACGATTGTTTACAATGAATGTAATTCCTCTTGATCAAAAGATAAAATTAAGTCATAAATATTTTCATGAAATTATCTTATTTGAATGTTAGTTGAAGACATGAGTTGATAAAGGTGCTATGTCCATTTTTTTTTTTCAAAAAATGACTTATTTGTATATTTGGTTACCTAAAGTCGTAACACAACCCCTGAATAACTCAAGATTCTTAATTCTATTTTAACTGATAAAGGTACTATGTCCTATGACTAAGTACCCTTTTTTATTAGAGTAAGGTGCTATGTCCATATTTAAGGACATAGCACCTTTATCCACTAGATAGTGGGAAAGTTTTATTTACACGGTAGGTGCCACGTTACATTTTAAGGTTATGTTTGTTATTTATCACATCTTTCAACATGGGTTCGAGAAGTAAAAGAATGTTAGAATTAGTAAAAAACAAAAAAATATGTGTGTCAAATAAAGGTAAGTCCGAATAGAAAATTCTTTTGTAGATAGAAACTGTATTTTGTACTTCTCTAGAGGTCAATACCAATGCGGTGATTTTGGAGCAGCCAAGTACTAGTGGACTTCAAAAGAAGGTCAACTCTAAAGCAGGTAAGCATATTAAAAAATTGTTTACTACCTTTATTAATTAATCATCTCTTTTTAATAACAATTTACCCCCTCTGCAATTCAATTTTTTATTTAAAAAAATATAGATATAATATACATTACTTGAGTTATCATTACATACATACCTACCTATGTACATAAATTAAATTTTTAGACTATATGGATAATAATTGTACTGATGAAAGTGTTACATCAGGCAGCGAATATTCCCCTTTCAGTGAAGAAGATTCAGAAGAGGATTCTGATAACTCAAATATTTCTTATTCGACGAGTCTCATAAACAAATATCCGGATGTTGACAGAGTCAAACGTAAAATGTTTTCTGATAACCAAGAAATTAAAACGGTAAAGCTAAAAAAAGTTAAGATTAAGAAATAAAAATAGAAATTAGAAATAAGTATAAATTTAATAAATAACTAAGATATTTTTAAGGTTCCGACAAACAGCAGGGAAACCCCGGATAGGATTGACGAAGTGCAGGAGGAAATACCTCGGGAAATACATATAGAAGACCATAACCAGCAATTCCATGTTACTGCCGATGAAATAAGTAGAAGAGGAATTGTTAAACCAGTTTAAAAAATAACTAAAAAACGAGTCCGGAAACCTGATAATTGGAAACGAAATAAAGCTGCAGGGTTAAGACAACAAGGTAAAGAATATATTTCTCAAAAGACTGGTCAAGTGATGGAAGAAAAAAAAATTAAAAATATTTACTGTGTAAAGAAAAATGTAGAGGAAGCTGTACTGAGAAGTTTAGTATTGCAAGCAGAGAAGAAATTCTAAGAAAATTTTATAAGCTAGATACCAATTCCAAAAATATTTTAATTTTTAAAAGTATTAAGATGCAGGAAGTTAATCGTCACCGCCCTCGTAAAAATATAAAAACGAAAGCTTACAGCTTTAAATATTTTATTACGTGTGATAAAGAAAATATACTAGTGTGTAAAGATGCTTTCTGCTCTTTATACCGAATTGGACGAAAAAAAGTCTTTAAAGCTCAAAATGACTTAAAATCTGGCCAGGTAATGCCCTCACCACATAAGCAAGGGCATCACAAAAATCCAAAAAAAATATCCGATGAAGTAATAAACTGCATTGAAAATCATATCAAGCAGTTTCCTTTAGAAGAATCACATTATTCTAGGACTAAAAAACCCACATAAAAAATACCTTTCCCCTTTACTTAATATTAATTGACTTCATCAACTGTATATAGAGGATTGTCAAACAAAAAAGCTCGAAAATAAATATTTCGTAAAGGCCTCTTTTTACAGACATATATTTCAAACTAGGTTTAACTTATCTTTTGGTGTACCAAAAAGTGATACTTGCAGTTTATGCAATGCTGGAGAGAACTCTTTAGAGCACTCGAATAATTTTCAACTTGCTTTTGCGCAGCAGAAAGTTGACCGCGAAGCAGTAAAAATTTCCAAAGAAAAATGTTACATAACAATGGATTCTCAACAAACGATGCCTTTGCCAAAGCTATCAACGTCAAAATCTTTTTACTTAAGACAAATGTGGCTATAAAACTTTGGAGACCACTGTTTGACCAGTTTTGGTCATAAGTCCTACTTTTGAGGATATTGCCAATACGGGAAGTAATGAAATAGCAAGTTGTTTGCTACGATTTTGTCTGCTTCTTAAATAAGAAAATCCCCAAATTGATCATTTAATAATTTGGTCAGATCAATGTGGGGGACAAAACAAAAACTTCTCTATTATTAACCTTTTTCAATACCTAATATTAAATAAAATATTTAAGATCATTGACCATAAATTTCCCGAAGTTGGTCACAGTTACCTTGACTCTGACAGAGACTTTGGAAGAATAGAAAAGGTACTTAGAAAACATCAGAATATTTATATACCAGACCAATATCGGGAAATTATTAGATCTGCGAGTACCAAACAAAGTGTATGCCTTAACATTTTTTTATTGCTTTGACACTCTACCTGCAAAACTTCATTTAAACAAAAGACCCACTAATAGTCTTAACCAAAAAATAAATTTTCGAGATAAAGTGAAGTGGCTAAGAGTAAGTTGTTTTGGAAAATACTTTTACAAAACTAGTTTAGATCCGTTTACCCCATTTATGGAAGTTGACTTACAAAAAAAAAAGAGAACTGATAGTACAAAGTAATCAAGTTGTTTTACAAAAGTTACCTAAATGCGGTGGTTTGACTTCTGAAAAAATTTCAATTCTACAAGATCAACTTACGTTTATTCCAGCAGAGTATAAATGGTATTATGATATTGTTTTAGAAGAATGTTTGAAAAACCCTAAGAAAAAACGTAATTCATGTTAAATTTAAATGTTTCTGTGGCTTTGTTTATAAATTTTTATTGTATCTTACTTTGCTTTTGTTAATCTGCACATAAAATTTAATTTCCAGATTATTTAATAGTTTTTTTTTATAATTTTTTTTAAATTTAAATACAACATAGGTGACATAACACCTTTCTCTACTCAAGTTTATACCAACATCTGCATAAAATGTTTGTTGATTAAGGTGCTATGTCCATTAAAATTAAAATTACTAAAAAAGTTTAAATTCTAGAAAAACAAAAAATATTATATAAAAAAGTCCAAAACGATTCTAATCAAATATGATATTGGTAATTTTTATAAAATTTATTAAAAAAAATATATAAGTGAAAACGCGTTTCCTTCAATTACTCAATATCTGAAAAAGTGGACATGGCACCTTTATCATCTCATGTCTTCAGTTAATACAACAAGATATGCCCATATAAATGCTTCAACTGTTATTCATAAAAACAATACCGATTTACTGTGTTTGTTTGATTGTGCATCTTTAAACTTTGATGTAGTTAGTTAGATGCTGGATGAGTTTCGTGAATGTCATCAAAATCGACTATTTTGTGTAAAGCACATATTTTGTTTCTAAAGTAATATAGTTTGTAAAGTTTGTCATGTATGCCTAAACTAGAAAGTAGTTTGTTGACTTATCGTACTGACGCAAAATGCTGCGTAAAAACGGCGTCAACAACTTCAGTAACAGTTCTGGTATTATTTTATGTGTTTATGCTTGACACTTAAGTTTTGTTTAAGAGTATTTAACTATTTTTGCTTTAAAATAATTAAGGTATTATTAAAATAGCGTAATTAGTCTAATAATAATGATTTTATTAAACAACATTAAACGAGTTAAATAAGTTTTACTAGAAAGATTCAGAAAAATAATGAAAATTAAACCAAAATCTAAAAAGTCTAGAGAAATATCCCGAATAAATGAAAAGAAATGTGAAGTAGTGTGAAAAACTCAATAGTGACTGGAGGCTGAGAAAATGTAACGGCAGATAGAAAAGCAAAAGATAATTGGAAGAAAAATAAAATTTTTATCGATGTCTTCCGTTTCATTACTATTTTCGTTCTGAATATTTCTGTCTTGATCTATATCGGAATGTTCTTCTTCTTCTGATATCTTTCTGATCACTTCATCTTATTCACTTTCTGAATTATCTTCTGGCTCTTGGTCACTTTCGTTGACAAGTTTCTTCATTATTTCTTTCCACTCATATTTCAAATACTTTCGTTGCTACTTCTGACCTTGACCCCTACTAGTACTGGTCTCCGGAGTATCCAAAATTTTATTCTATAATAATACAAAATAATATGTAAAACATACAATTTTTACCAATATATAACAAGGATTATAAAATAATGTAACTTACCTTAAACAGTTATTCAAACGTCTAAATAATAATCAGGATTTGTTACAGTTACACGCTTGTTTACAATTTCTTGCAGTGGAGATAGGTTCGTATACTTTGTGTGCTGGAACCTTGTTGTCTATTCGCATAAGTCGAAAAATCTTAGAGATATATGCACGTTAATATATAGTAAAAAACTTTAACATTGTTTTAGTACTTGCTAAATAGCCCCAGAACCAAACTGGGGTTAAGTTTAAATGAATAAAATCATATTTAAAGGTAATCATTTGTGTGGCAGTACTGTATAATTGAAAATTGGGAAATTAAATACCTACTCGAACATGTTTAACTGCATCAGAAAGTAGAAAAGTTAAATACCGGATACAAGTTAGCAAAAGAAAAAGGCTAGAAAGAGATGTAATAGGTCTAACAGAGGAAAAGATAACGATATATACAACACGGCGAAAAACAAAGCAAAGGGCGCTGTAGCTACTGCTAAGGAAATATTGTGCTAAAGGACTTAACCCTCGCGCAGTAGATTAAGAGTGTGGATGGAAGAGTTCTAAGAACCGATATAAAAATAAAGCAAAGATAATATGATTACTTTAACCAAATGCTAAATATAGAACACCAGAGGATGCAGGATCCAAAATGAAAATGTAATACCTGGGTTAACAAGAGATGAAGTTGTCGATGCGTTAAATAGGACGAAGAACGGTAAGGCAGTAGGACCTAATGGAATACCTGTGGATGTTTAGAAGGCTTTAGGAGAGGAAGACGTTAGGCAGTTATCGAGCAAAAAGACAAAATTCATAAAAGTGGCCTCTCAATATGGCGGACATATCCGGAAATGCAAAGGCGCCAAATTGAAGACTATGTTCCATTATTATTATAAGCACTATGTTTCGAACACTTAAGATACGTTTTTTAACACTAGATCATAATAAAATTTTAATTAAATAACGATAATAGTCTAAAATGTGACACAATAATTGTTAAAAAACTTCAAGATAAATAAGCTTTCATGTGACAGTTGGGACAAACAATAACATAACCTAACTAAATTTGATTTCTTAAATAAGGAAAGAGACTCTTGCCTTGTTTAATGTGGCCTCTTAACATGGCACTTCCCGTCTAACAACATTTTTGCCCCCACTACATTTATCTTTCCTCTTCTGTCTTTTTGAGAAAAAAGAGAGCTACGTTTAATATTTATGGATCTTAAGAAGGCGGACCACACAGTTCTTAGACAAGAGCTATGGAGATGTATGAGAGAGAAATGGGTTTCTAAGTATTACATAAGGCTTGTGAAGAATATATGAGGGAGCGTACACCAAAGTAAGGACTGCTGTCGGATTGACCGAAAGTCTTCCAGTAACGGTTGGTTTGCATTAAGGCTCTTTACCAAGTCCTTACCTGTTTAATCTTGTTATGGATATATTGACGGACACAGTAAAGGAGGGGGCTTCTTGGTTCTTGGTCAATGCTCCCTACTGATGATACCGTGTTAGTAAGAAATGTTGGAGGAGAAGTTGGAGTGTTGAAGAGAGATAACTTAACGTTAGCAGGCTAACACAGGGTTTATGTGGTTGGAAAAAAGGGAAATGGTGGGGGACGTAGAATTGCTTGGACAAACGCTATTAAGAGTGGAAGAATTTAAATATCATAAATCCTACATGACAGAAAATGGGATACTATATCGAGAAATTCCATACAGGATACAGGCTGATTGGTTTATCTAAAGGCGAATGAGCGGGGTATTTTGTGATCGAAAAATCCGGGAGGGCATGAAAAAAAGATATACAAGAGTATGGTGAAACCTGAGTTGGTGTATGACGGTGACGCATTGCCTGTAAAGAAGATCCAGCAGAAAAAGATGTTTAGTGCATTTTAACTGTTATCACATATGGATCAGAAACATAGACTTTCACAAAGAATAACATCGACAGGATATCCAAAACACAAGGAGCAATGGAAAGACAGATGCTGGGTATCGGTCTTAAAGACAGGAAAAGAAACTCATGGATTAGAGAAAAATAAAGGTGAACGATGTATCAAGACAGGTTGCAAAACTTAAATGGAACTTAGCCGGTCACACTCTCCGGCAAAAAGATGAAAGATGGAATAAGCGAATTCTACACTGGAGACCATGGGAAAAGAAAAGAAAAAGAGGAAGACCACAGATATGGACTGACGACCTTAAGAGAACGGCAGAAAAGGACTGGATGCAGATCGCCCAAAATAGAGACCAATGGAGATTAACAGGGGAGGTTTATGCCCAAGAGTGGTCGTTTAAGGCTGATTAGATAGATAGAGTTTATCAGGACCATATTTAATCAGTTCTATGGGCACTTCCCCGGTCTTGGAGTCTTAACACTTTGCATATTGTTGAAGTAATTTTTAATTTTTCCAGCGTTTCAGTTGCATAGTATATGTTATGCCATTTCTTCTTAGTTATGACAAATATATTTTTTCATTGAACGTTTTATATTTATTATATGTAATTTTTAAGCTGCCTTTTAATATATATTCTACCTCAACGATAACAAAGGTTTTAGTGTTTGGTTTAGGATGGTTTTCAAGAGGATAAGGCTAATACTATCTTCATGTTGGCCCCATTATCTGCATTTACTCAGATGGTTCATTAGTTTTTCCTCTTGTTCTATTCCTTCTTTTAATTTCTGAAATAATAAAATGGTTTCTTAAACAATTAAAAGCTGCTTTATAATATACATAATTATCATCATCAGTGGCATTACAGCTCGTCATGAGCCAAAGCCTTCTTCAGAACAATCTTCCATTCGCCCTGTCTCTGGCAACTCTTCTCCATGCTTTAACTCCGATGGATTTTAGATCATTGTCTATGTTATCTTGATACCTAAGTTTTGTTTTTCCTCTGGGTCGTCTTCCCACTCGACCTCTTCGGTCGAGAATTTTTCTGATCGTTGCATCTTTATCTTGCCTAATTACATGTCCTATCTATCAAAGGCGTGCTAATTTAATACATTTTAAAACGTCAGGTTCCCCAAAACTTCTGTATAACTTAAAGTTGTAGCGCCTACGCCACAAATCCTGTTTTTGAACTCCATTTTTCTTAGAATCTTTCTCTCGAAACCTTTAAGCAGTTCTTGGTCGTTCTGTGTAAGTGACCACGTTTCTGACCAGTATGTTAACACTGGACTTATTAGTATTTTACATATAGTAATTTTAATTTTTCTGGGTAGTTTTAGGGACATGTGTTTCCTCAAGACATAATAGCACTTATTGGCAAGCACTATTGTTCTTTTAGTTTCCTTGCTCACAGTGTTGTCTTTGGTCAGCAGCGAGCCCAGATAGATGAAGGTGTCCACACGTTACAGTTCCAAATCCTTAATTAATAGTCTAGTGTTACGATTTTAAATGTTATGGCGCATAGAACTGTAAATATTTTATGACTAATTCTTTTGTATTGATTCTCGTAATTTCTAGGTCAAAATTCTACCTGAATCGAATGTTCTGGGGGCGACAAGCAGATAAAAAAAAACATGTTTTGAGACCAGTCGCCGCTGTGTCTACATCGAGAACACCATGGTATGTTCTACACCTTTCTGTTTACCGGCTTGGAATTATATAAATAAGGGAATACTTTCATTGAGGGGCCAGTCATAAGAAGATCGGGAAACGCGATTTACTTGTAACGAAAACGTAAATAAATTATTTGTAAATTAGGATTAATAAAGACTTTAATAAATTCGTAATTAGTTATCGTGAGTTTTAATAAATTAGAATATAGACAATAAATTAGAATAAAGACAAATAAATTAGAACTATATAAAACTAACAGTGGTGTCAGAAGTGAAATTGGTGAACAATGGCTACGATTTACGAGCTCACAGTTACGAATCTAAGAAGGCATCTTGAAGACAGAGAATTAGCTTCTACCGGAAAAAAGACTGAGCTAGTCCAACGACTAAAGAAGGCTTTGGAGGAAGAGGGTTTAGATCCGGAAACTTATATATTTGAAGATGCTGTCATCTCATCGATTAACAAAGTTTCCTGTGATATCGCATCATTAGAGAACAAAGTCTCTGGCGATATTTCGAAAATTTCTGGTGACATCGCATCATTAGAGAACAAAGTTTCTAACGAGATTTCTTCTCTGGAAAGCAAAGTTTCTGCTAACATCTCTAAAGTCACTTCTGAGATGTCTGCCCTCGATGATAGGGTGTCGTCGTTAAAGAACCAAGTTGCTGCCGATATGTTGGCCTTCGAAGAGAAGATAAAAGAGATGGAAAGGAAGATGGAGGAAACAACGACCGCAGAGAGAGAAAACAATCCAATTATAGCAGAGATAAAAGAAGACGAGACGAAATGTAAGTTAGAAACACGGCCGAAATTTGAAGGAAGCGGAGGTTATGTTCATGTCAAGGTTCCAACTTTCGACGGAAAATCGTCATGGAACAACTACATGAAACAGTTCGAATCAGCTGCAAGAGCGAATGGATGGTCAGAAAAAGAAAAGGCTGTAAACCTGACTATAGCTCTTCGAGGAGATGCCTTAGATGTGCTCCAGACCATAGCCGTAGAGGAGACGGATGATTTCGAACAACTGAAGAAGAGGTTAAATATGCGATATGGCCACGAACACTTGGAGCATGTATATCAGTCGCAGCTCAAAAATCGAAGACAAAAGAAAGATGAGGCTCTTCAAGAATATGAAGTAGATATTGCCAGATTAGTGCGATATGCTTATCCAACAGCTCCCGAAGACATGATGGAAAAGTTGGCCGTTCAAACGTTTATTGATGGTCTTCGTGATCATGAGATGCAAAGAACACTACGATTAGCTCGTCACAAGACGCTGGTTGATGTCTTATCCGCCGCCCTCGAATACGAGTCAGCTACGCAGGCCTCTGGCGGTTACAGTAAAGTTAGGACTGTAAAAGAGGAAGAAGATGAAGAT